GAAGAGTTGACTCATTGGAAAAGACCCTGATGCTGGGAGGGATTGGGGGCAGGAGGAGAAGGGGACGACAGAGGATGAGATGGCTGGATGGCTCACCGACTAGATGGACATGAGTTTGAGTAAACTCCGGGCGTTGTTAACGGATAGGGAGGCGTGGTGTACTGCGATTCATGGGATCGCAAAGAGTCGGACAAGACTGAGCGACTGAACTGAACTGAACTGAAATGAAAGAGGAGTATAAGTTTTTTTGGCTTTTCCTTTTTTTTTTTTTCCCTTACCTTTGCTGTTGAGTTACCTTTATGTTGGAGTCATGATCTTACAGCTAAGTGTTACTGAGCAGGTTGAAGAATGATTTGGGGGAAAGGTGAATTCAGAAAAAGACAACTTCAAATAAATTGCATTTATTTCACCTTCTACAAGTTAAGTTTGCTTCAGGTGTTTTACATTTCTGAATTGCTTAAGCAACACCACATACCAATTAATGTAGCTAGGTATTGTTATCCCCTTTTTATATATAAGGTCAAAGCGATTCAGCAACTATCCCAAATAAGCAGTGGAAGTAGGTTTCAAACTGATTCAGTTCCACTTCTCTTTCCCTTGTAAACCATGAGCATTTTGAAAGCCACTGTCTTGTATATTTCCACCCACAATATCCATTTATTTATTGGTTTTGCTATTGATAATCTCTTAATTTTATATGAAAAGGAAAAGATTGTGTGATAGTAGTTTGTGGAGTTCAGTTTTCAAGTCTTCAAAACCAATTTTCAAAAAATATCTTAATTAAAACAGACTGAAATCGCTTCATTCCAATATATAGTAATGTGTTTTTCAAATTAAAAAAAAAAAAACCCGTCCCTTGAAGGAGTTGCTTTAGATATTTTTAGATTTTTATAACATTGTAATTTTCATGCCATAAATATTCTGTATATTTGTTTATATGCTGTGACTCTATGCTATTATGTTATGTAAGAACTTTTCTTCTCTGAGGAAAAAAAATTTCACTCCCTTATGAGTGATACTGATCTCACTGACAATTCATGGTATAGATCAATGGGTGATCTAATCTCACTGACAATTCATGGTATAGATCAACTGAAGTTCAGAAATAGGCCGCTATAGTCTAAAATGACGTGGTTCACAAAGTGTCACTTCTGGAGCAGTAGCAAAGCATCACCTAGCAATTTGTTAGAAATGCAAATTCTCAGGCCTCATTCAGTCCTATAGAACTGGGGGTAAGCCCGTGCAGTGTTGTATCAGGTCTTCTAAGGTGATTCTGATGTACTACAAAGATGGGAACCACCACTCATGGATAGAGTGCTGAGAGATGGGTCCATGGCTTCATCGTAACATTGAGCAAGTTACATTTTGTCTCAGTTTTTTCATTTTGTTGTAGCCCAAATAATTCCTGGTTAGAAGCCTTACACATTCAACTTTCTCAACCTCATTTGTCAACTGAGAATCTACCTTTCTTCCATTGGGTAGGGAAAGAGTGAGACTAGACACACTCACAACCTCTCCTGTGGGTTGTTTTTACATTTCCTGCAAAAGACTAGTCAACATTACTGGTTAGGATCACATTAACAAAGGCCTGACCCCCAATACAGTAAGTGGAGCCAGAAAAAATATATACAGGAAAAGAAGTGAATAAATACATCTTAAGATTCTATCTTAATAGACATCCCATTAGGGGCACGAAAACAAAAACTAGGGTGTCCAATTTTATGGCAGAATAAATTATGTGAGATACGTGGAATAACTGGGAATTTGTCAAGAGGAACATGTTTGTTTCTCTTTCTTGAAATTTTCATTTTTTTTTCAAAAGTAAAAATAAATATTACTTGTTTCTTGGTTCTGTGGAATTTCTCTAATCTTTTCTCTTTCCTATCATTCTAATCAGTTACTTCCAGAGACTTGCTCACCCACTTTATGGACTTTTTGCTAGTTTAGGTATATGCAGCCTGGTAATAATCAGAATTTATTTTCATAAAAGGGATGACTAAGAAGAGAACTTAACCTACAGAAATAAAAACATAAGGAGACCACGCTATTCTAGTGAGAAACCTCACACACTGCCAGCCATAGGGCATGCACTACCTAAAACCTCAGAAATAGCTTGTGATGTCATGATCTGGACTTCCCGGATGGCGCTAGTGGTAAAGAACCTACCTGCCAGTTCAGGAGAAAAGAGACACAGGTTCAATCTCCTGATCTGGAAGATCTCCTGGTGGAGGGCATGGCAACCCACTCCAGTATTCTTGCCTAGAGAATCCCGTGGACAGAGGAACCTGGAGAGCAAAAGTCCATAGCGTAGCACAGAGTCGAACATGACTGAAGCAACTTAGCATGCATGCACGCTCTCCATGATCTATAAAATTCCACATGACAACTTCAATCCAAGACTTCCTGTGTCAGTGATTTACAAAATGTGAACAGCTGATAACTGAATCTCAGCTTTGGTGGAAGAAAAAACTTCATGTTGATTTAAACATTATAAGCTTTAGCATGAATAATTGAATTAAAAATCAAATATTAAATCAAGAAGAAACATTTTCAGGTTTTCCTCTGTTCTGTTTCATTTTAGATGGAGCTTGCTAGAGAAGAAAAATGTGAATTTTTGCCTTTCTTGTCTCCACGGAAGGTTATAGTAAAAGGTGGGAGAATTGTTGCTGTGCAATTTATTCGGACAGAGCAAGATGAAACTGGAAAATGGAATGAAGATGAAGATCAGATAGTCTGTCTGAAAGCCGATGTGGTCATCAGTGCCTTTGGCTCAGTTCTGAGTGATCCTAAAGGTAGAGTGCTTGGGAGCTGAAATGTGTTATGCAGTTGTCTGTTATTTTACTGCCGTAATGGTTTCCAGCTTTCAGGGAATTGTTTTCAGGGAATCTTCACTTGAAGATTCATTTCCTTCTTCTAGTATGGAATGCCAGAAATCTTGATTTGCAAGACTTAGAAATGGTATTTAATACTTACACAGAATTATTTTTAAAGTACTGGGAATTGAAGACAACATTAATCTTTCTTTTAAGCTTACAATCAAAATACACACCCTACTTTGTAACAATGTTTGCCTTGTTTCCTCTATAAAAATCAGCTTTTTCTTCATTTAGACCTAGAGTAAGAAAATGTGACAGAGAACTTGTAATAGCCAATCTTCAGTGATTCAAGCAAATTAAGATCTAATGAATAGTCAAAAATAGAATTCATGTTTACTATTATTTGCATACCAAATTATCACTAGAAATATCAAAATTGTCAAATTAGGAAGTTTGAACTTCTGTCATTTCATCTAAATGGCATAAATGGACATGCTAAGAACAAAATGCTTTGAACAAGATATGAGAACAAGAAATATATAACATTCCAACTGAATAATAAGTCAATCAACTAAGACTATTTTGTGTTGTTTGCCTCGCACAGTGTTTTTTGGGCCACTTTACATAAAGGTTTAGGTTCCTCCGTACCCTGCATTTTGCAAATCTTTTACCTTTTACTGCACACCATCAAAATGACATCTATTTCGTTAACTAAAAGGAAAATAAAGATGTTTCTCTAATTTCAAGATTTATTAGGAAAAAGAGTAAGTAAAATTTCTGAACCTGATGATTCCTATAGCTTCCTACTATATCCATGCTAAAATTACATTTTGTGTCTTGAAACAGAAAAAGATAATGCTTGCAAATGTGCATTTTTATCCAATAGATAAGTAAAACATTTAACCACTCATCAGGATATTTTATCTGCAGGACATCAAACATCTTGGTATTTGGAAACATCCAGATGTTTAATGTCATCAAGATAAATGTTTTCAAATAGTTGGATGATGGCCTGAATTTGTCACTTTTCATCTAGACATTTATGTGATATGCAGACATAGTCACAGTGCGCTTTGTTATTCATTGATGAGTTCAGGAAGGAAAAAGAGAGCAACGTATAAACTGTATTCTGTTATCTAAAAAAAGATCATAATATTCTTACTGCTCTGTATATGACTGAAAACTGAGTAAAAATTTGAATCACTTAACTTGCAATTCTGTTGATTTTTTGTCTATCAAAAAACAATTTATCTTACCATTTAAATTTATGTTCCACAACTGACAATTCTAATATTAAGAAAAATATATCTTTTCCCTAGCAAACTTAAGTAGATGTGACTCAGAAAATTGTAGAATACAGCTTTCCAAAGCTTATGTTGGTATGTGTGTGAAGAGTGAAAGATTTAATTTAATATTTAAAATATTGAGTAGAAGAAAAGAAAATCGGATTTACTTGTGTTTATTGGACTAAATCGTTTAAAAATTTATTTGTGAATTTTGTTCCAAAATTTACTTGTGTATGTTTCGTCCAGTGCTCTATATGTTTCACCCCATATACATTAGAGAAATCAAGGAAAAATGATTAAATCTTCCCTTTTTTCTTTTTTTCCCCCTCCTCCTGACTTGAAAAACAAACTGCTTGAGAAAATTTTCCTCAAATAGAACTACTTGCTTTACGGGGACCTTCAACGTTGACATCAATGAGAGCTACTTTCTAGTTAGAGGGGAGCTGGAAAAGCTGCAATGTTAAATAGCATTCACATCTCTACTGCTTTCTAAATATATTCAATACTGTTTTTTGAATGGGGTACATTTAAAAACCGATAGGGAGAAATATCATTTGTGAAAAGTTGATCAAGAAGATCTTACCCAAGTGGTATTTAAAATCTTGAAACAACAATTTCAAAGAAAACTTTCATGTGCACGTGTTATCAGATATAGTGAAAATCAGACTGTAGGAAGCAAGTTCATGTCTCTTCTGCCCTGAATCTTATCCCATCTCAATACTCCTGTGATATGATTTATCTGTGATACTTTTGTGATTATTGCATATGTGGTATTATATATTTCAATATATTTACTTATAACCCCTCTCTTAAATCATCAATCTGCTTTTCTACCCTTCTTCTTCACTCCTTCCTAGGCTCACTTTGTACAGACTTCAGCGAACTGCACACAAAACTCGGTGTAATCTTTTCACTCCTTATTCTATTTTCTGCATTTGACAGTGTTAAATATTTCCTTCTGTTTGAAAAACTCTCTTCTGCGTCACTTAACCTTTCTGAGCCTCGGCTTCTTCCTCTGTAACAAAACATGGATAATAATACATACTCTTTCTACCTCTCAGGAGACTTGTCAGAATTAAAATGAAGTAATGTGAAAGTGCTTTGGAATTGAAACTGTAACACTTTATTATTGTTTATGACACTCTATTTCCTTGCTTTTTCTTTTAACTGTTCCTTTTCCACTGTCACTGACTGTTTCCTTCCTCTAAAAAGTTCAGACTTTTCCCATTTTCTCTTTTCTTAATATATTTATTTCTTCACTGAACTCATTTATTCATTTATCCATCCATACATTAATTCCTGGTAAGAATATTTAACAGACAACTTCTATGTGGCAAGTGGTAGCCAGACTTAAAATAAGCACTATTGCACTTCTGTATAAAATGACTCTGAAATCTCTTTCTCTACTCTTCATTTCTCAGCAGATATTTCATCCTCTGTTTATGTTCATGCATGTAGCAAGCATTTAGTGAGTTTCTAGTGAATGCCAGGTACCAAAATGTATTCTGGAGAGGACAAAGATGAATGAAGTATTTCTTGAACTTAAAAACTTCACAGACTGGGGCTGGAGGCAGACCTTCAAACAAAAAGTTTGTTTTATCAAGTTAAGAATACATTTAGAGAGATACACACAAAATAAGGACCTCCTCATCAGGTTGCCCTAAGACTGATTTCCTCTCAAGTTTGCTATTATTGGAAATGGTACAATAGTTCTCTTCTCACTAAAGTTCAAAAATGAGATCCCAGATTCAGATATCTAACTCCAATTTTGCTTTATCATTAAAGTCACTGGTGTTACCCTGTACAAGAGGATGAAACTCCTACTGACTGGCTGAGAACTTCAGCAAATGATTTTATGTACTATGTGCCTGGCTTTACTTTCCAGTATTCCCTATTGAACTGTTCCTCCTAGTATCTGGTACAGGGTGGATTCCATAGTGGTTAATTTGGAAAGTCCTTGGTGAATGTATTATGTAAATATATGCCGAAGAATTAAAGGAATGAAATAAATGACAGTACAGTGATAAATTTATACTCTCCACATTATCTGATTACAGTAATATTTTAAGTGAAAATAGTGAAATGAAATTGTAGTGTCTCAATTATATCAATAATAGTTGTTTGTAAAGGTGAACTAAATTAGGAAATTCGAAGAAAATTATTTATCTAATTTTTTCTTATATACTACATTATTTTGTAAGTCCCTTAATTTATGTGTTACACAATGGAGAATATAAAATAGCTTTAGTATTAAGCACCAAGTGTATCTCTAATACTTATTTCATGTCATAAAAATAGTAACTGCCTCAATAGCTTATAGAAAAGAAAAATGTGTCAAATTTATAAAACAAATTTGTATAATATCCTTAGATTACAGTTGCTAATTATTTCATTCTTCCCAAGGCTTATCACAATTATAAGTAATCATCATTATTTTACTTAATTCTGTTTTATTTCTCTCTCTCTCTCTCTCTTTTTTTTTTTTTGGATTGTAGCAGTGAGTAGAAACTAAGAACAAAAGGCTGCATATTCCACATCCTTATGCATGGAATTTATGTGTGCTTGTTATAAGCACAATTTAATTGAATCCTTCATTAACTACTGTTACAAATTCTAAAGGTAGTATGTTGTCCAATTTCTAATTTGATTGGGATGATAAATCCTTAGCCTTATTTAATATCTTTTCTATGAAAAACTCAAGGTGGTTCCACCTTTTCAAAATTCTCATCCATTTCCTCTAAGAATGTAAGATCCCAAATCACGTTTAATTTGGATTTTAGTACTCAAGTCTGATTTTAAAGGCTGTCAGTAAATTAAGCACAGGCTGCCTCTAACTGGCATTTCTACTCCACAAATATTGCCCTTCACTGGAAATTTTAAAACATGTATTTATTTAGTGTAAGAGCATATGTTTCATAATATAAGAAGTCTTTTCTGTTAAACACCAACATCAGTGTTTATGGAGTTGAATTTTCCCTCTTTTTGTTAGGACAATGTCAAGTTTAAAATACTTTTATCCTTATTTTATTCCCTTTTCTTTCTGCTTGGAACCAAACTACCAGTTATGAAAAAAATGTTTTGAAAAATCTCTATCGTTAGTTTGGAATTGATAAGGAGAATCTGTTACCATTTTTACTGACCTCACAGTTTCGTTTTTTTCAGGGGAGGTGATAACATAGTCCTTGTTTGCACATTCCTAGGAGGTGTAGATGATACAGTTTTGTCTGCTTTTCGACAACTGAAGGAAGGTCCTTTCAACTAACTATGCCATGACCTCGGTGCCTCTTTCATATGCTGCACCAAGTCATCCTCTCATTCCCTAGAAATGTCTACTTTGAAACGACCCATGTGTTTTGATGTTTCAGAACCTGTAATAATTTATCTTCTAGTTAGATTGTAAACCCCCAAAGGACAGAGGATGTATCTTTACAGTACGTTGTAATCCCAGTAATAGCCATGATGGATACTTAGTTTACATTTGTGCGTTTGATTTGACTTGATTCTTATTAAGATTTTAATTTCTTTATTTGTTTTGTTGCTCAGTCTATTGTGACTCTTTGTTATGTCCAACTCTTTGCGATCCTATGGGCTGCCACACACCAAGCTCCTCTGTCCTTCACTGTCTCTGAGAGTTTGCTTAATTTCATGTCCATTGAGTCGGTGATGCTATCTAACCACTTCATTCTCTGC